TAATGATTATATAGTGTATCTTTAATTTGTTTAGTTACTCTTGTTATTTCTTTAATTTTCAAACAAACACCAAAGTACTGTTAAAAGTGGACAAGATGTGTCGTAATATATGATAGGCCTTACAGTATACGTGAAAAAGAATTATTATACGGTTTCTAATCTATTTACCGAAAGTTATTTAATAGAAAATAACATTGTAAATATCGAATATATAGCACTATAAAATGATTACATTTGTCTTCGATATGTTTTTCATATAAAAAATCACATTTTGTATTTTTCAAATTATTGCATAGAAGTGACTATTTAATTGCCAATATAAATCCTATTGTAGATTTGTCTTTGCATGGATACTTGTCATCGTCGGAAAACCATTTTCAATTGCGCATACTACCTACTGGACTATCAGAAACAAACTTTGTGTTTAATCATAAATTACTTTAGGCGAGGCAAGAGTTATATAATATTATATAATAGTTTATTCCAATATAAATTACATTTATATATCCTAAAAGGAATTAGCTGTAGATATATTTGATAAATTTGACATTATGTGGTTAAACGCAGTAAACGCAATCATAAATAATAAATCTACTGTCATTGGCACAATGTTGTCATTGGCACACTGTTGTCATTGACACTCTGTTGTCATTGACACACTATCACTGTCTTTGGTACACAAAATACGTCATTACTAAAATCTAAATATTTTAGAATTATTTGAACTTTGACCATAATTTATTTGAATATCCTTTAGGTACAGGTCTGGTAGACAGGTTATATTTTGCATGATATGTGGTTAAACAGCCACTGCCATATTTAAAATGGAGGATTTCCTCATTGTGTTCTATCTGTACCTAAAAACGGACATTAGCTTATAAAACTAACAAAGCAAAAAAAAATACATTTTAGGACTTTTCAGTTTTAAAAATCTCTTGCTACACTTTTTAAAGCGTTTCATAAAACAATAAAACAATAAAACAAACGAAAACCTCAATAAAATATTCATAAGTTCAATCAGACGGGCATAACCTTACCTCACTCTTGAGCGTCTTATTTACTCTACGAACAAGTCATTCAAAATATAAAAATTAGTAATAATATACTAACCATTTTTCTCTTTCACTAATAATTTCCAGAATATTAGGAGCCTAAGAATGTTTTGATATTGGTTAAACAATGGAACACAATGAACTTATTAAATATTAAATTAAATATTAAATATTAAATTACCACTTTTCTTTATTTTGAACAATATATCTTTCAACGTCAACATAATGTGATTGGGTTGAAAAGCTAGGTTATTCTCTAAAACAAACTTTAGTCCTTATTAAAACTATGTAGTTTTAAAAGAGCCCTATGGTTTACAAGATTAAATAAATTATAAGAGTTATGTTGTAAAATTGTAGAAAATGTACCTGAAAGGTTCTGGGATCAATTTAATTTAAAGTATAATCCTAAACCACTTTTTAAAACTAAGTTTTAAAACCTACTTAAGATAACTGCTAAAAAGTGTGCCTTTTTATCACCAAACACACCTTGGGAGTATCTTAAAACTAAATAGTTTTAAAATTACTTAATAATTAACCCTTACAAGACAGCGATAAAGCATAGTTTACTTTAGGATAAAATATTTTTCTTAAACGGATTTAAAGGAATCTATAAAACCAAGTAATAAGATCAATTTATCCTGCAGTCCTATTAGCAAAAAAAAATAACTGTAATAAAATAATTGTTAATTTTTGTGCTTGTACAAAATCCTAATAAAACAAATAAAACTTTATTCTCTTAAAAATGTTACTTGGGTATCTGTTGTAAATAAACTGTGCTTTACTTTGCTGGTATTCTAAGTCTCAGAAAGTGATTAGATTCATATATATTTTCAATATATGCCCAACAAAGGAAATAACATTCAAGCAAGAAATTTAGTAAATAAAAAAAAAAGATATAAATTCAAGAAAAACTGTTTATTTTTTGTTTTTATTTTATAGCTTAAGTGTATACATGCCAGTCTGAGTTTGTGTTTGATTTTCATTCATTCGTGTTTCTATGTGGGCTTTGTTACTGTTTCCCAACCCTTTATCAATATATATTATGTGCAGAGCTTGTTACTGTTTCCTAATGTTACTTTAGGAAGAGCACTATTAATTCGTACTCAAAAGTGAATGGTCGGAGTGGAGAATCCTACCTAGGCATCAGAATTGATTTTAAATAAATAAAAAACCAGCCAACGGTGGGATTCGAACCGCGGACCCTTGGATTCTTCCATTATGCCACCCACCCCTCCGAAGAAAAATTCTTGTAAAGCGAAATATATATTTATATATTTTTAGAACAGTTAAATTGTTTGAGCTCATCCTGGTTCTTCTTAATTATATTACTCTGCTTGGAAGACTCCTAAATTTGTCTTAAAGTGTTCGGTTCTAAATTCTCAAAGCAAGTTTAATACATCGCTGAAATGAGAGCGAAGAAATGTGTTATATCACAACAAAATGGTGGTGCAATTTGAATAATTGATATTAGGGTGGGTTTATAGAAAGAGGTTTGATAAGAACTTGATTTAACTTTACCCTGTAAATATTATTTTATCTTATATACACAAATATTTAGAAAAAAATATATTGTCAATTAATTTAGATAACAGCTGACCATGTTATTATTTTAATGTCTGTATTTTAATATTAATTTTCTGTTTACTATCTATTTATTGAGATTATAAGTGATATAGGTCATTGAAATCAACGAGTTGTACTGAGAATTCACGAATGATAAGATAATGAAATGGAAAACCCCTGGCGGTTCCTCCAATCAAAAAAATCTCAAATGAAACTGGGTTCATTTCTACAAATAAATAATTATTTATACAGTGAGGACGTATAGGTTGGAATAAATTCTATATTTTTCTGTTTAATGAGCTTATAAAAACGGTATAAAATTGACTGCAAAGACTGTAATTCCACTTACATTGGACAAACAAAACAATATCAACATAAAAGAATAAAAAACCATAAAAATAATATCGCAACTAATAATGAAAATTTCACTGCCCTAACTAAACATGCGGTAGAAAATTTGCACTCTTTCGATTTTGAAAATTCTCGAAAATTAACCTAATCTCAACAAAAGAACAATTCGAGATGATACATATTAAAAAAAATAACAACTCTGTAAATAATAAAACGGACATAAAAGGTTTGTCAAACGATTATTTTAATATTATTAAATAATTGTAAGCTTTCTAATCCTTAACTGTAACGCCACTGATAATTTTTAACTTTGTAAAAACTCATCTTTTTGTTTCCCTTCTTTATCGTTATCAATATTATCAATATTATTTCGAATACACCTTCACACGCTGAAACAGAAAGATGTGGTTCTGTTATTTAAAAAAAAAATTAACTGTTTGTAATCGTCCCCTTGGGTTTTTTTATTTTTTAAATTTTGACGGCAAGCGAAGCTAGAAAAAAAAAACCCGAAACTTATGTAGTGCTGTGCTAAACGATTGAAAATAAAAACATGACCAAATAAACCAAGGAAATTTTTATTTATATAAAATATAATTTATTTGAATTTAACAATCTTTATTAATACCAGCTTTATTTATCTCATTCATTAGTTATTACTATTACTCACTACAGACACATGCCGTGAACGTATTAACAATGACCTTGTTTATTGTCACTTAAAAGGATATGGAATAAAATATTTCTTATAAGTACTTACATACTTTATAATTTTTTATAATATAATGTACTTTTAGTAAAATTAATTATATTTTTAAACACCTTGCTATGTATCTCCATTACACAAACTTGCAAATTACCCTGTATATGGGGTGTTCCCGGAACAAGTGGATCAGTATACATGCAACAACTACTATACTAAATGACCCAAACTTTATATATTATCCGAAGAATATTATGAAAAATTAACAATATTACACAAACACGAAATATGATTCTTAAGAGATAAATAGTAGCGAAGATAGTAGTTAATTTGAACTATTGTATATTTAATGCTAAAGTAAAAACACACTGTATATGGTTTATAAAAATATTGATATTTTTTCTATAGATTACTGTCTTGGTTACATGTTTCATGAGAAAATTCAGAAAATTTAATGTTGATAAAAATTTTGTGGAAATAATCGTCAACGCTGCAACGTTAGATTAGATTTGAAAGGAGGTGAACATCATGTATCCTTGTCTACCGCGAACTTTACAAATCTATTGTGAGACTCCATTTTTTAGAGTATGTCGTCTTTTTTATTAGACATAGTAGCTTCGACAATGGCTTCGCATAGGCTAATTCCGGCTTTTTTGTAGCCTGTCCCCTGTTTTGACTACTTAGTTCTGCCAGGTCTTCTAGGCAGTCTTTCACCCCACTCATATTCTTCTACAGCTTACGAGAGCTATTGCAGCTTTCTTTGTATGTTGATTCCACTTCAGTCTTTGATCGAATATGATTCCAAGGTATTTGGCTTCTATGACAAATGAAAAAACCATGTTATTAAATACTAGTGATTTTAGGCCTGTAAGTACGCGTTGTTTTTGTAAATGATACAACTGTTTGTTGCTTTTTATGCGTTAATGGTCAATTGCTCCTTTTTGCACCAGTTGTTCATTATGTATAGAGTTGTTTGAGATCGCTCCGAGACTGGGCCTGCAAATCGCCTGACGATAATTACTAGGTCGCTTGCGTATCCTATGCACTAGTAGCTTTCTTTGAACAATGGTTTGAGTAGGCTGTCATCTAGAACTGATTACAACATTGGAACGCTGCAACGTAATTCAAACAACATTTTGTTCTGAAGCCTATTAAAGAAACATTCAAATAAGAAAAAATACAATTTGTTCTATTTAAAAACATAAAATCGGCCCACCATATATGAATACGTATTTTTTTTGTTTTACATTAATATTAATATTCTTCTGTTACCTTTATTATTATTTTTCCAAGTTCTATAATTCTAAATTCGTTTTGTCTTATTTATATTCCAGATGTGACCTCTCAAGAACTGCCAGTGAACCAAGCTTGTTTGGGTTGCATTTGTGAAGCAATTTCTGCTTGCAATACTACCAGTATTTGTTCAGGTAAGAATTTTAAGTGTGTAGTCATTTGCATATATATTTTATAACAACAACCGAATGTTCGAAGAACAAATAATATTTCTGTCTTCTCATTTTGATTTCAAATCCTTCTACGTATAAATAATATTTATTGTACATACATTTCACCGGTACTTCTTTTAGCATTATACAGGGTATTTTAATATAAGAGAGATTTACTTCACTGGGCGATATGGGAAGTCAAGAAGAATTTAGAATATTAGACATAACAGATGTTTTATGGAATTTATTTGTCCAAAACTTTGAACCACCAATTTGAAACCGTCAAAGCAACTTGTACTTAGACACATTGTACACTATTGTATTTGGAGTCGTTTAAACATTTACATCTACTTTCAAGAAATAATTTTCACACTACCTAGTTAATATGAAAAAAATAAAACACATTGTTTTACACAAAGTACAAAAGTCTGTTTGTATATCTATGATTTATTCAATTCTATCTAAACGTGTATACGTCACTATCTAAAATTTGATATCAAGTACCTATTATAGACAATGTTGCGAGAATATTTTTTGTTGTGTACTAGATTTGTCTAAAAATTGTACCAGATTCCATAAAAATGTAGAATTTTTTTTTAAATGAATTCTATAAGCATTTAAGCAATGGCGGTCTGATTCATTGAAAAGAAAAAAAGCTGCTTAAGGGTAAACTTTGCAGAAACACAGTTAGGACAGAACACCATCTACATCTTCTGCTTACAACCAAAAGTTGTCCACAAGGAGGAGTTTTATCTCCATTAATGTGGAGCCTAACCGTAGACGAACTTCTATGCAAATAGATTGAACCACGACATACACTGTCAATGTTATGCCGACAATATAGTCATGTTTGCTAGAGGCAAAATTGGAAATATCCTGTGTGATATATTCCAAAGAGGACTAGAATACACTAGAAAGATGATGCCAAGAGGAGGGACTCCACCAAAACAACACTAGTAGCTTCTTCAAGGAAGGCTTAAAACCGACAAATAGGATGAGATACATATATATTGAAAAAATTAGTCAAATATCTGAACCTAAATCTACCCAATAAACTTATCTGGAATATATGTGAAAAGAAAGTAGTAAATAAGGCCACAAAAACCCTAATGGTATGTAGAAAAAATGCAGATAATAAAATGAGGATGTGAACCGATCATAATGTGAGGGAGAATAATAGTGAGACCAATCATCATTTATACGGCTGTAGCCTGAAGTAACAAAACTAGTTTAGCTACTACGAGGAGAGTTAATATCTCAAAAGTACAAAGACTAGCATGTGTTTTCATCACCGATGCAATAAAGAACCTGTTCTACAGCCGCAATGGAGGTTAGCCTTACCCCTCTACAGTTAATGATAGAGAATGTAGCAAAAAGAACAATATAGAATGATCAGGAACAGAGTAATCAGACGAAAATCTACTAGCTTCAGAATCGAAGATACTTGGAATATGCACCAGAACAAAATGAGAAAACCACAGAGCTGGGCTGCAAGAAAGAATCCATCGTACTTGTAACCGAAAGGCATGCCATTCATTGGTATACGGTTGATTCCAAAACCATAGAAGAAACTAAAATAGAAGTTAATAGTCCTAGAACCAGACACTCTGAAAATTTGAGTAGATATCCAAGCATCTTCCGGGCGGAAATTCATGCCATTGAAAAGTGGATCCAGTTCAACAGCGAGAGAAACTCTCGCAGATAAGAGATTATTATTATGAATAATAGCAAACTAGTGATCCAAGTGCTAAGATCTTACGTAATCAACTCAAAAATTATCTGGATATGCCTAGAAAAACTGAATGAGCTGAGCGAGTAAAATACAGTTACTCTTACTTGGATCCCGGGACAAAACGAGGCAAAGGTTAATGAGATTGCAGATAGGAAAGAGACTAAAAGTACACAATATTAGGAGAAATTAAAAAAGAATTGGACACTAGAAGAAGAGATAATTGGAACAATCTCTTGTAGTTAATGCAGGCTAAGGTCCTTACGGAGTGTATTGCTGATTCAAAGGACACCTTAGTAATCTGCGAGTGATAGAAGATAGTAAGTGTGAGTAGGAGGAGGAGGCAGAACCTCCATTATATTGATTTTACAGGATTAAATTCTACAAGGATTTAATCTTCTACGTTAGAGTTAAGGCATTAGGTACTCAACAAATTTGAATTTAAAATAGGAAGATCTTGTTCATACTCGTCCTGCAAATACTTTTTTAACATTGTTATTTCTATTTAGGTGATGTATGTGGACCTTTCAGAATCACTTGGGCTTACTGGGCAGATGCTGGAAAACCTACTGTACGACAGCAATCACCTGAAGAAACTACGGCCTACGCAAATTGTGCAGGAGATACCTACTGTGCAGCTTTAGCGGTACAAGGATATATGAGGAGATTCCAACAGGTATGCTTTCTTTCAAATTCTTTTTTACGGCTAGCTATGATGTTTGACAAAGTATTCAATAAATTTTGGTGATTAATATTTAAGTCAAATTGGTTGAGGTTACACAGTACAAATTACTCATCAGAATATATTTGAAAAACATAGGATACTTGATAAGTTTTTGGTAAATGCTAAATGGAAAAGTATAAACTAAATATAAACCTTTAATTTAATAATTTTCTCCACGTGCTCTTGCCTAACGTAGGAGCATTAGTAAATAAGGGCGGGTTGAATAATAGAAAGTTAAAATAATAATAATAATAATAACGAACTATAGCTTATTTTCCTTGTGCGAAAATGAAATTGTGCAACTTCATTTTGTAGTAAATAGCAAATGACAAAAACAAGTGACTTGACATTGATAAAATATCAAGGTATCCTAACACCATAAGAAATTAAAAATTATTAGTGAAAACACACAGAGATGTTTTAATTTTAATAAATAATCATCACAGGGGAAATTAAAAAAAATTACCATAAATTACAAAAATAAATTAGAGTTAAAGCAGGGACAGAAGTTGGAAAAGATGTAGGTAGGTGAAGTGGTAATAAATGTCAAACCCGGGTAGCTATTCTTGAATTCGAGGAAATAAAAAACCGGTTTTGCCTCTTTGTCTGTAACGCGCAAAATTTATATTTTTGTCTCATTCTTTCCTAAAAATTTCTAATCCCTGTTATTGAAGAATAGATAGATACCCCGGTCAGACGACTTTGAGAATTTCGCGGTAATGCTTATCTGCCAGTTTTATATCATATATTAATTAATTTTAAATTATTACCGGTGGAACTAGGCAATCGTATGTATTTGTGGGCTAGAAATGATTAATTAAACAATTATTATAATAGCTCAAATCATAATTCTACAAAATTTCCACATCTATTCACAATTTATTAAACTTAGAAATTGTCATTAGCATCTATGCCTATTTATCGGGTTCACTTCAGTTAGCTCCGCGACAGAACTGTCAATTCCTTTGTAAAAAGTGGGAGAACTGCCAAAGGCTCTTCTAACTTTTGTCCCTGCTATACCAGCAAAGAATATTGAAAAATAACAGAAACTTTCATTAATGGTGTCGGGACCAAACCTAAGTTTTAAATAATATGAAAGACAGAGGAGGCTTCGAAAACACAGACCCCTGTGTCAGTGATATAAAATTAAAATGAATGGGAGTTAAGGTAGAATTTGGGAATGAGAGACCCATACAAACGATCTCGACGCTTAGTAAAGCAGCAAGGCAACAAAGACTCTGTGTTAAAAGTGCCGTCATGTTCTCTTGCTTCGGTCGTTTGCTTCCAAATAATGTGCTTCGTATAATTGTATGTCATTTACACGTAATACATTTAATTTAAAATTACAATTAAAAATATTGTAAAGGATAGTAAAAAAGTTAATATCGATACCTTTTTGCCAGACTAACGTGAGCGACATTTTTGTTCAAATGCCACTTACGATATGGCGACAAAAATTAGATTCGTCGGAATATCTAATATGCTCACTGATGCTGTTTTAACAATATACGTGGTGTTAAAATCATTACAAGAAATCTATATACAGGGAGGTCCTTAGAAAACATACCGCAAGGCATTACAGGGTGGAAAAGAACTTTTCGACGAAATTCAAAAACACGTCAAGTTTATTTGTCAAGAGACATCTTTTGAGGCAAAAAGCATAGTACAACCATCAGTAGGGAAGTCATCCTTCAAATTTTTTCAAAGGGAAAGGCGAGGTCATGTGATACCTTTTTAAAGGGGTTTTGTAATTCCCTATACAACGCTGAGTTTTTAAAAATCGAGCCATCTCGTTTACAAAATTATGGAGCCTTGAAAGTTATACACTAACATGTGACGGAAAATGCAAAAAGCGATTTAATTTAAATTGAGACCTTGTCGTAATTTTAAAATTACATTAATTATTCCTAGATTTAAAATAAAACACTTCATTAACTTAAAACATTAAAACATTTGTTGTTATAATCGTATCTTCATCAAATGAATTTGCTGTTTTTGCCACTTTGCAGATTCTTTAGGCTCTTTTTTGTTGGTAAAAAATTATCGGGCTTCTTCTTCACGTTTAAATTAAAGCATTTGCTAGATATCTGTCTTATGGTTAGTGTTTTAGTATCATTGTGAACATTACATTTATCAATTACGGTGTACTCAATTGCAGAAAGAATGGGAATTACTGAGCTTACTGAGCTGACGGTAACTGCAAGTTTATCAATCAGCCTTTAAAGTTATAAATCAAACTAATCTTAAAATAGAAGTTCAAAATTTAAATTTGTATTCGAAGACTATTGTGACATTCAAAACTGTCACTAGTTTCCTTTCACTGAACTACCTCTTTAAATACTAGGATATTTAGACTGTTTGCAAGAAATTGTCAACAACTACTCCAATTCTGTGGTCTTTAACTAAATAATGCAGTTCCCTTGTCACATTCAAGTTGTAGAAAGGGCAGTTAGCATGGGCGAAGTTATGTCATTAGATCTGGGGGGGCTAAAGCCCTAACCCTAGTCATGTAATATTTAATAGTTCTAGAGGTATACTGAAGTTAAGTAAAAAAATTCTGGCGAATCTATGAAAATGAATAAAATATCATATATAAGTGAAAAAACTGAATAATTTTCATCACAATAATTTTCATCACAAAAATTTCCCTAATTTTCGCAACAAGAGTAGATATGGACAATCCACTCGAGTTGTGCAGTATATTTTTTCTACGAACTACTAACGAAAATCTACAAATTTAAAAAATTATTTTAGATTTAGACAAAATAAGCCATTTTAAAATAATTTATAAATTTATAAAATAAAAAACATAAAAAAAATTAGCCCCTATAGTCCAGATTCGAACCCAGGCTATTCGCGTGGAAGGCAAATGCTCTGTCCTCCGCTCCACCGCCACTTTTAGGTTTTTAATTTTAATACTCGTAATTAAATTAGTTTCATACGATTTTATTAAAATTTACTTTTTTAAAGGTGGCCCAAATAAAATTAAAATGTTATTTTTTATCGATTCTAAACAAAAATAACTAATTTTAACGTATATGTAATCTTAATGACTAAAAAATATACTGACAGTTTGTCAGAATTTAAAATTTTAAAAATAATAGTAGTTAGATGTCCAAAATATGAACTGGGATTTGTGGATTTCATTATTTTGCAGTTTTCTCGCTATGTTATGTTATGTTGGGAATGGGGTGTTAATACACTGCGACCTAAAATATCTATTGTGCCCCCTTGTGTCGCTAATGCAGCAAGGAAATGTCTCAATGCCTATAACGACCCTTCCAATTATATCTTCTCAAGGAAGTGTAGGATTTGGAGTGGCTTCAAGTTTCTATTTGATATGCTCCTAGGTATAGTGCCCTTGGATTCTGGAGTGCTACACATTCAGTTAGAATGTAAATGAAGGTTTCGTCCTTCTCCTCACAGAATCTTCACTCACTATTTTCTACTACTCTAAGTTTACTAAGGTGTCCTTTTAGTTGGCAATGCCCAGTAAGGATCCCTGTTACAAGTGTCCTCAGTACTAGAAAAATGTATATTATGATAACAGCTTAAAATACAATCTGGCTAATGTGGAATACCCCGAAAGCCTTGCCAGACTTGTCTAATGATCGTCAGGCGCGCTAAATTCTGCACGTTCGATTACTATTCCTCTCCTCGTTTAACTACCTGGCTTGTCAGGTCCGACCGAAATACGGTTTTATAACCGAAACCGAAACCCAATTTCGGCTCCTTTCTTAGTTTCGGTCGAAACCGAAACAGAAATAAGAACTTTCTTTTAAGGCAATCTCTTATTGAAATTTGCAATATCTTTGTTTAAGACTAATTAACTCGTATTATAAATTTTAGCTACATTTACTTATTACCTATTTATTTATGTGATCCAAAGAAGCCATTAATAAATTTATTGACAATGTTTTTTTTTTATTACTTTTGAAACAAAAAAAAAATAAGTGAATTACAAAGTAGCAATCATTTCTGCATCTGTCTCTAGATTTTTGTAACAAAAAATAGTATTATGAAGGGAATTATATATAATGTAATTGTTATTTAAAAAAAAAAACAAATTCAGATAATTAAATATGTTTGTTACTTATAATTAAATTAATATTCATAAGTAAACAGTCTAACGTTGTAGGCTAGAAATAATATTTTTTCCTCGTTTCACCTAAAAAAATGCTCCATTGATACGAATAAATTAGGCCAGGAGCACTGAAGACTGTTCACTTGAAACAAAGCAGAGAAGTACGTGCACTGTGTAGGAATGGTACCCGGCACAGTCGCCATTGTGCCGGACACAACCAAGTGTGATACGAAAACTTTCGAAAGTAGTTTCGTAGTTGGCTGCAGTTTCGGCCAGTTTTCCGCCGAAACCGAAACTGTAGTCGAAACTCTTATTTTAAGCCGAAGTTGGCCAAAACCGTAACCGAACCTTCGGCCGGACACTACTTGTGAGTCTGACAGGCCTTCGTGATTTTAATTGTCAGCCAGACCTATATTTTCACTTAGAATACCACTAGTGCCTAAATTATTTCCGAAAATTTTTTCGAACTTACGAATATTTTGAAATTTATCCTGAGTCGAAGACGATTGATATTTTTCTTAAAATATGCGTGAGTAAGCAAAAATTTACTTATAATAATTTAGGCACCAGTGGTAGGTATTGGGTAAGAAAATTTTACACCAAAATATTCAAATTTCAAAACTTGACAGACATACATTAAAACGACTAAAATCAAATTTTCAAAGCTGGCCATAGAACAACATATAAAACATATGCATAAAAGAGCTTCTCAACTGTCAAAAAAATTTTCAGTATAATTTCGTTCAGGGTACCCACCAAAAGAAAAATTTCCGGAAATTTTTCATGGAAGCGTTTGAAAATAACGGTATTTGATCTGCTATAAAATAGAGTTGTAAAATTGTAATAGAATCTATCACATGACAAATTTTCAAACCCGGGAAAATAAAAGCAAAAATATTATATTTTTTCGATTTTGAAGATATTACCAGACTCATTTGCCAATTTCGTAAATCAGCCAGACTTATTATTATTAACAGTTCATGATTGTATCAATTTATATGCTAAATTTTCTGCCACACACACTTTCCACTATCTGAGATATTCCAAATTGCTATTTTTATAAGCTTTATGTTCTAGTTTAGTAAATTTAAAATATTTATGACTGGGAAAATAAGTGTCAGACTCAAAATGTTTGTTTTTTGTCACTAAGAGAACAGTTTATTTTCATATACACCGATTGGAAAAATGAGTACGAGTAAAATTCACTGCCTCCTGAACTAAATGTAAAATTTCAGAATCAATCAAATGGCACGATTTTTCTTTATTTATTAATTTCTGTTCTGAAATTTGAAATGTGTGGATAGATGTGCGATAAATGTGCGAATTATTTTTGGGGCCCCCCCCCCTAACTTCGCCCATGGCAGTTGGACTTGTGATAATTTTTTTTATTAGTGACTAATACTATAAGGCGTGATTAAGTTATGAGGAACACCATTTTTTCCAGGAAATATTTTTTTTTATCAACTAGTTATAAAAACTTTTAATATTAATAATGTATTTTTCCAAAAATAATGTTTAAGTAATAACAAAATAAAACCACTTTTGTTAGTGTTAGTATAGTAACTATTTGGTCCTTATACAATTGTTTTGTATGCCTTGCGGATGTAGAAAAAAACTGAAATGAAAAAAGAATTAACAGTGTTAAACTAAATAGAAACTAAAATTATTGAACCCTATTACAGTTTTAAAATCAAAACAAAATATATTAGAAGATTGCGGGAGTGGAAAATTTGGTAAACATTTTTCCATTTTTATTTACTTATTAGGTTCTAAAATCCCTTGTTTTGAGACCTGTGCATTTCTTTAAGTAAAATTTAATATAACTGTACACTCTCACCACCTGCTTGAAGAAATTTTATATTGTTAATATAACACATACATTTTCTTGTTTTTTTTTTAGGACTGTAATGGTGACAACAAAATAGATTGCGACGATTTTGCCACAATCCACAAAATTGGAGGATACGGATGCAAAGGAGTGGCCTTGCCAGAGCCCTATGGCCAGCGGTACAGACAATGTAAAGAGATCGTGGGACAACAAAACTACTAAATAATAAATATTTATAAAATAAGGCTCATTAAGCTGTGACTGTTTATAATATACCACGACTATTTGTAGGGTACTGATTTTCATTAATCAATTTGTGACTAAACAATTATACTTTTTTGTACTTTTTAGAAAATTTTTATTTTTCATTTTTTTTTTGTGAAAAAACACTCCAAAAGGGGCGTTTATTGATATTACAATCTGATCAAGAGTTAATCAATGAGTAATTTTGTTATAACCTAACTTAACTAGGGTTGCAATCTTAAAAACTAAAGTTCTACTCGCTAGTATACCTTAGGGTCTGATAACTTAATTACACTAAACTAACGTGTATCATCTTGTTTTACTCTAAAGAATCTATATAAAATGTATGAATCCAATAGGTCTGAGTATGGCTGTGGAAGTAGCACATTCAGTTTATGTCTTAAGCCATCATGCCATACTTTATCAAAAGCCTGCGCAACATCGAGGAATATGGCTGAACAGACTTCTTTGTTTTCTAATGCTTTTTCAATAGCATTCTATGAACCTGATCTATAGTTGAATGGTTTTCTCCAGAGCCAAACTGGTAATCTGGAATAAGTTTTCTTTCTTCAATGATGGTTTTCAGTCTTTTTATTAGTATTTTTTCAAATAGTTTCAATATTATAGGCAACAGAGATATTGGCCTATAATAATAATAATAATAATAATAATGTTTATTCAGATAATACATTGATACATATACAGTTAAAAAAAAAAAAAAATTGAATAAACAATAGGGGGCAATCACAGAAGCAGTTTAAAACTGCTTGTATGTGATAAGGCACATATACAATATATATGTCCCTATAAAACCCAACAACATAAATTTAAATAATTTTTTAAAATTAGAACAAACCTAAAAAAATATAAAATGCAAATACAAATTAGATTACAAATAACAATTAAAATATTAAAAATAGAAAGATAATATAAATAAAAACATAAAGAAATAGACCAATCTTATTATCGTGACAGTTTTTATGGAGAGAAAGATACAACATATTTTTAAATTTTAAAATTTTTAAATCTGATTTATAGCATCACTTGCTAATTTACGCTCTTTTTTGAGCCAGATTTTTAGTTTATTTTTGTATCTGCTGTACAAAGAAATGTCCTTTATTTCTTGAGGTATCAAAACAAAAATTCTAGGAGCCAGATAATCACTACATCTTTGGCCAATACTTTTTTCAGATCGCGGAAATAAAATAGCATCAGGTCAACGTGTATTGTAGGGATGGTCATGAGATATTAATATAATCTTAGATTTCTTTAAAAATAATAATATCTGTAGAAAATATAGTTGTCTGATATCGTAGATATTGTAATCTTCGTAAAGTGCATTACTGGGGTATAAAATATTTTTTTTATAAATTATTCTTAAAATCCATTTTTGTATTACATTAACATTTTTCAAAGTATTATCATACACACCTCCCCAACCAATGATACCGTATACTAATAAGGATTGTATTAAAGAAAAATAAAGAGACCTTAAGCAATGTAAGTTTAGAAAGTCACATAGATATCTAAATTTTGGTAGAAAACATCTTAACTTTTTTATTAGTTGTTTTAAGTGAAGGTCCCATTTCATATGCCTATCCACAATAATCCCTAAATATTTTATTGATGACGATTCACAAACTTCGTTATTTAATCCCACACTTAATGGACCCAACATAGGAAGGCCTGTCACATAAGAGGAAAATGGTAAGTATCTAGTTTTCTCATAATTTAATGTTAATTTATTAAACTGAAGCCATTTTGATATTTTAGGGAAATCAGTTTCTACTTTTTCTTTTAGGTTCCTCCATGAAGATGAAGAGTATAGAACGGCAGTATCATCAGCGAAACTTATTATTTTAACGGATGTGTCTAAGTGTAGTAGGCTATTAATGTAGAGTGTGAAAAGAACATATATGACGAAACTTCGTTCGGAGGTTTTCCTGGTTTGGGGATCATAATGACTTCAGCTACTTTCCACAATCTAGGGACATACCTTAGTTTGAATGAGGCATTAAACAGGTGTGTAAGTTTAATTATGGCTTTCTTCGGAAGTTGTTTTAAGACTTCTCCTGTAATTAAATCATAGCCAGGAGCTTTCTTAGGATTAATATTTGTTTTTATATCTTCTGCAATTTCCTTTGAAGAGGTTGGTCTGATAATTGAGTCATCTCTCACTAGAGGAGCCCAGTTCGGTAATTCTTCTCCTTCATTTGGTTTGAAGGTGTTCTGCGAATCTATTAACTTTTTGTGTATTATTTCTAGCCCAGCTACCATCTGTATTCTTGATTGGAGCATTCTGCACAGTGGGTCTTTTTAATCGCTTTGTGGCTTTCCATAGAGAATAATCAGTGGATTTATCGTTTGTCAACTCACTAAGGTACTCACAAATAGATTCATTTTTGATTCGTTTTATCTCTTTTTAACCGCTGAGTGGCGTTGTTAAGTTTGGTTTTATCTGATGGAGCTCTGGTCTGATGCCATGCCCTCCTTAGTTTTTTTTTTTGCAGAGATTAGGTCCCTTATTTTTTTAGGATAGTTATTTCCTGTTGTTCGCTGCATAATAGGTGGACTATTATCCCATGCTGCTTGTTGTATGTTGGACACAAGTAGTTCTACTTCTTCATCTAGCTGTGCTTTTGTTCTTAACGGAACTGAAAGATTGATTTTATTTTCAAGGTCCAGTCTGAAGCTTTGCCAGTCTGTTCTCCTATTTATTAGTTTAGGAGCGCTTTCCTTTTGGATAATGGTGTCACTAAGAGTGAGAAGAATAGGCGAATGATCTGAATTCATGTACCATGCCTCATCAACTTGGATGTAGTTTGCTGAAATATTTCGTACAACAAAAAATTCTATTAGGTCGGGTATTTTGTTTCTATCTGTGGGCCAATAAGTTGGTTTTCCAGTTGAATGCGACTCACATTTTAACTGTTATTGCTTCTTTTAGGTTTTTACCCTTAGTTGCCGTTAGTCTGGAGCCCCAATGGGTGTGTTTTGCATTAAAGTGGCCTCCAATGATAAATCTAGGTTCTTGACTATTGAGGAAATATAGGTATTGTTCTTTCTTAAAGGTATGTCTTGGAGTACAATATACAGAAGTGACCATAACATCAGAAGTTTTAGCTTTTATCATTACTGAAGTAGCCTGAAATTCTTCAGTCCTGTATCCCGCTTCTTGATGATGCTTAATTGCTCTTCTAATTATTACTGCGCTACCCCCTCTTGCTGCATTTCTGGGATAAATGGTATGATAAACCTTATATCCCTTAAATTTAATAAAGGACTCATTGGTAAAGTGAGTCTCTGAAATTAAACATATGTCTATGTTTTCTATATCTAGGATCGCTTGCAATTCTTTTTGGTGCTGCAGCAGTCCATTAGCATTCAATTCCATTGTTATTAGGCTATTACTCATTATATTGCCTCTTAGGTATAGCTCCTTTGCAACTATATTCTAACCTAGTAATTTGTTCATCCATTTTGTTCAGCTTTTTCAGTATTTGGAGAGTATTGGTAATGGATGAATCTAGATTGTTATCTATTTCTTCTTTTTTACCAGATACCGACTGGCTAAATAATCTAGATTTGTCTATTAACAGGCTTATGTTGGATTACTCGCTGTGGCTGTTTAGGTAAGTCTGGTTTTTTGCTATGCTATTATTTTTGATTTGTTGCATTTCTTTGGCTACTTCACATCCCCTGTAGCTAGGAGGATGCCCTTCGCCGCAGTGAACGCATTTAGGTGGAGCATCTTTCGATTTTGTACAATTTACAGTTAAATGTTTCCCTGTGCATCTTACGCATCGAGGCTCTTTAGCACAGTACCTTTGAGTGTGTCCGAATGCTTGACACTTTTTGCATTGAGGTACTAGATTGGATTTTCTGAGAGGTACAATTTCTACATACACTCCCATAATTTCTCTGATTCCATATATTTTCTCAACACTTTCGTTGTGTTGGAATGTAAGCATGAACATATTCAATGGTTGTTTAGTTCTATAATTTAGTTTTGGAGTAGCAGAAATAATATTAAAGCCACGACCGTTCAAATCACTAATTATATTTTCTGGTTTGCAAGAATGGTGCAGCTTATATGCCATTACTTTAATTGGTCTATTCTGTTTATCCTCATACAAGTACCAAGTGTACTCTTGTTCTGTTAATGCTCCACAAAGCATTCTATATTATGGTCCTTCCGGAACGTTAATTTTAACATTATTATCGTTGATGACTTTAATTTGGGAGTTTGGGATTTGTCTCACCATACTCAGTCCTCAACTAACATTTGTCGGTGTCGGATGTATTTTAAATATTCCCACGACGATCAAAGTGGGTCAGGTTCGTAGCGTGTTAAGGTGTACTGTGTTTAGTGTAACATGACGAAACCAAAATAAAAACATTAGTAGATATGTTTAAAAATAATAAAAAATCGCCGATAAAAATAGTTTTAAAAGCCATTGATAGTGATATAAATAAAATGGAAGTTACCCAAGAAAATAGTGCCGCAATGTCAAAGAATGAAGAAGCATTATACAATGCTCTAAAACAAACGGAACTGGCGAGGAATAATCTTGCTGATAAGTTGCAGTCGCTCCAAGTTCAGATAGATAAAATCATGAAAACAAATGATGAATTAATCAAAAAATATACAGGAATAGAAGAAAGTATGGCTAGCAATATAAATAATGCAACTAAGCCCACTGAATACTTTACTGATGAAGAAGATCTGGCAAAAGAGACTGAGTGAATCCGTGTGAAAAATAGAAAAAAAAATGGATACTTCATCAACCACAGCCACAACAACCAAAGCCACAACAACCAAATAACAGTACTACAATAGAAAAACCTGTAAAAATCAAAACACCACCACCTATCATAGTGGATAACGTCCAAAACTTTAATAAATTTTTATTTAACTAATTAAAGTGAAGGAATTTAACGCATTTGATCATAAATAAAACGACGCGTGTTTAAGCTTTTATTTCCTCATGACTTTTATTTAGAGGCATATGTTATCACAGGCATGATTCGTATCTCGGTCTTTGTCGGTCATGCTATACCTACTATTCAAAATAAATATTTTTTTACATAATGAATAGATTAATAAAA